AGTATTGTAACGTTACATATTACTTTATATTACATGACTATTTAGTATTGTAACGTTACATATTACTTTATATTACATGACTATTTGGTATTGTAACATTACATATTACTTGATATTACATGACTATTTGGTATTGTAACGTTACATATTGATATTACATGACTATTTGGTATTGTAATGTTACATATTACTTGATATTACATGACTATTTGGTATTGTAACATTACATATTGATATTACATGACTATTTGGTATTGTAATGTTACATATTACTTGATATTACATGACTATTTGGTATTGTAACATTACATATTACTTGATATTACATGACTATTTGGTATTGTAATGTTACATATTGATATTACATGACTATTTGGTATTGTAATGTTACATATTACTTGATATTACATGACTATTTGGTATTGTAACATTACATATTACTTGATATTACATGACAATTTGGTATTGTAATGTTACATATTACTTGATATTGAAAAAAATATTAAGTATTGTAAGGTTAGACTATATGACATTATGTTACACGAATATTTATTATTGTAACCTTAAATTTAACTTGATATTACATGAATATTTAGTATTGTAACATTACATATTATAACTTGATATTAAATGAATATTGAATATTGTAACGTTACATATTGATATTAAATGAATATTGAATATTGTAACGTTACATATTGATATTACATGACTATTTGGATATTGTAACGTTACATATTGATATTACATGACTATTGAATATTGTAACGTTACATATTGATATTACATGACTATTGAATATTGTAACGTTACATATTGATATTACATGACTATTGAATATTGTAACATTACATATTATTACTTGATATTACATGAATATTGAATATTGTAACGTTACATAGTACTTGATATTACATGAATATTTATTATTGTAACCTTAAATTTAACTTGATATTACATGATATTTAGTATTGTAATGTTCTACATTATTACATGAATATTTAGTGTTTCAATGTTATGCATTATTACTTGATATTACATGAATATTTAGTGGGTAGCTCAATCTTGAGTATTAGTTTGATTGTTTGAAATGTATAATTTTATAAGCAACTCATTGAGAAGCTGAGCTGTAGCCAATATATTTGTATTCTGAATAGGTAAAACAGCTATTTTCTTCAGAATTTATAAACCTGACATAATAATTATATAAGTTATTTCTTAGAGTAGATAAATTTGGACCAGGAGTCCAGAAAATGCCTTAAATGTATAGAACAGTAACTGAAGTCAAAGAAGCTAATAAATAGAATTGAGACATATACAAATAAGTTACCAGACATACAGTAGATAAGTTAAATGCTTAAATCATGCAAGTAAAATAAATACATTCCTGACCAAGATATTTAAGTCAGATATACAACCATAATGGAAGGAAATTTGGAAAATATAATCAAAATAATTCTTTGGATTTTAAGAAAAAATAGTTTATATCTAGTGGAATGTTATATTGTTACTGATTAGATTAAGTGACTGAACTCACTGCCAAATTGAGAGTGATGGGTAAGTGTTTACAACTGTAATTTATGTCAGTGGTTTTGTCATTTAAGTAGTGGTTGACTGATTTTAAGTTTCGAGAGTGGGTGTCATTATGTGATATGTAACTGATGGAAGTATACAAGATTTTAGAGGAGCTTTTTTAATTAAAAAAATTGTAAAAATTAGTAATCACATATTTTATAAAAATAAACATCTAAACTTTGAAGAGGAAAGTGTTGTATAAAGGTTGAATAAGCATTAGAAGCTGAAGAGTTTGTTTAAAAGTCTCTTAAAAAGTTTAGTAAGTCAAATTGACAGAGTTTAGAAAGTTGAACCTCACTTACATTAGTTGTGAAAACATGGTACTACAATAAGATAAACTCATCTTAGTGAAGTTAAGCCTAGTTTTGAATTATGTTTGTGTTATGAAAAGTTCCAATTTTTAATGCACAGAAGGAAGATGGATTCAGGAGTTGTGGTAATTAACTAATTATTGCAATTAAACAGTCACACTTTTGGTTTTCTTCATTAATCTGAATCTGTTACAATCTGCTGGTGAATACCATAAAATTGTTAAGCCTAGATAATAATGTCATACAACTAAATTAATGTATGTAGTTTCCTTTTTACTAATTAAACAGTGTCAATAATAATGAATGTAGTTAGTGACATGGGGCCCATATGTTATAATTATTTTAACTTTTCCTGACATTTTTAGTGGAAACAATATTTTTATTGATATCATGGTATTTTGTTTCTTTTGTCTTTTTACAGTTTTTTGGTATGTAGAACATCAGTTATAATAAATACTTATGAAATGTAATTGTTTATTTGTTCCAAATGGCTAAATTGTGGAAATATATATATATCTGTTCTTTGATGTATGACCTCTTTTTATATGAAATGTAAACAAGATAGCAACAGAACCATGTACAGTTTATTATGAGCATATCTTAATTTTTTCTGTAATTTGTGTTTGAATTAATATTTGATTGGATGGATAACTGGAGAGACAAGCTATTCCAGAATTCTACTTTTTGTAGTTTTTACATTCACTTCAGGGAAAGCTATCACAAATATTACATTCCTTCATGTAAAGTTGCATTTCCTCATGAATTGTTTTTTATTTAATCCATGCAGTATGTTCATATTTATTGGTCATAACTAAAGGAATACAGATGGAACATGCATTCTTTCAAAAGGGAAAGCCAATTAAAGAGATGAAATTCCTCAGGAATGCGGGAATGTAATATTTTGATCCCTGTTTTTACATCTACAGTTTTGGTTTGTTTCGTTTTAGATGTGATTTATTATACCTAGATTCTATTAACTGTTTTCTGGTGCTGACACCTATCAACCCTTGCAACTTTTAACTTCTAAGTAAGAAAGAACTTTACAGATTAAAAAAAGTCCTAATGAGCCCTACAACTTGAGATTAGATTTATCTAAATACAAAATACTTGGTGTGTGTGCACACACAAATAAAAGTAGCAATGCAAACAAGGCTAGAAAAAGCAGTGTTTTACAACCAGATTAAAGTTACTTGTTCAAATTTTCTGTGGACCCATGCAGCTTGAAAGTGATTACTTAAAATATAGAATACTTATGTTTTTATAGAGCCAATTTGATTTTAACCACTAAAAAATACCAAAATAATAATACAAAGATAAAGGGGGGATAGCTTACATAATTTGAAATTGGATAAGCTTGTTCCTTCTCAAAGCTTAAAAGGTGTAATGTACAATTAAAGAACCTACAGATGTCCAATATAAAATTTGAAATTAATTGTGAAACTTGGTGACTGTTTCTTAA